ATGAACCGCCAGTCCCCTTGGCGTTGTTTTTGCAAATGGGGCTGGTTGCGACCCCACCAACCCACCCGCTTTCTTAAGCCAACGCTATTTGGCCATTTGCGATTTCAAGTCAAGTGCATAACTTGTATGAGGCCTTGCAAAGTCCGCCCGAGAAACCGCCCCCGCTTTCTTTTTGGATTGCGCAAGCTTGCTTTAAAGAACATCGTGCCATCAAGAACGTAAAGCCGCAAAACCGAGACGCCCAGAGCCTGAACTGGCACGGAAGGCAACCGGGTAGACTGGCCGGGCCGGCGGTCGAACCGTCGGATTTACAGTGCGGAAGACCAGTAGGCCGAAAACCATAAACATACAAAATAAAAAACCTTACATACAACCTCAGTTGTCGGCATTTCTGTGAACTCTGCAAGTTTTGTACATGGATCGGACCGAAAACCAAAAAATAACCCGCAAAAACCGAAAAATACCAAACATAAAACCTGGACCCAGGCTGGATGCACCATGCGATTTGCATGGTGCATGGAAAGCCTGGTGACGGACAGATGGTCCTGACGTTAGTCGGAAGTCCTCGGCAGCACAGAGAAGTGGGCAAAATCGAGGCCGGTGACGAACGCGAGAAAGCATGGCACGGACCTGCGGGCACGCGGAGATGTCCTGGCCTGACACCCCCCGTCTTGGGCTCAGCCATGGATCGCTAAACCTTGCTTAGCGCTTCGCGACAGAACTCAGGTGATTTTATGTGCCAAGGGAAACACCGGAGTCGTGCAAAATCAGGCCTGGATTTCACCTAATGTACTTATATATATATATATACATATGTATTATATCTACCTCCAGTAGATGGTTGCTAGACATGCTTCTTTGTACGAACTACGACTTACTGCAAGTCTACATCTCGGCCTCAGACCGAGCGACACCTGCTCGAGAGGAACCTGCCTTCCCTGCGCTCCACTCCACCTCGCCTTCACCCCCAAAAAATCGCGGCAAGTTTCCAGCGTCTTGCTGTCGTCTTATCGTCATCGTCGCCCCTGTGGTGCAGCAGTGGCTGACAGAGAATCCCGCGACGCGATCGACTTTGCTTCTGTTCAACTTGCTGGTTTTCTTGTCGCTGTACTCCAGGCTATGGCCACGCATAGTCACATCCTGCAGGGGTAGGCAAGTAAGTTGAAGCGTGCGGCGTTCAGGACAATTTCTCGCTTTGTTTCCTGGCTGACGGCTGGACCTTGGCATGTTGTTCAGAGCCTCTGACCGAAGTGAGATGCCATTTGCATTGGTCCTTGACCCTTTGACCCTTCGCACTATTCAGGATGGTCATGGCTTTCATGGGCAGCTTGTTGCCACACGTGTGGTGACAACGGTCCCGTGAGAGGCTGAGCATCAAAAAACTCGAAAAATCTCGAAGTACAAGACCGCAGACATCCTCAGACTAGATGTCAGCAAAGTAGTGTCGCGACTTTTTGCTTTAGCACGGCTTAATTCTCAGCTTAATCAAGGCACTTCATCGCCCATAAGTTCGCCGACGGTCTAGAGGAGTGTTGGAGTACTGCACCATCCAGTGATAGATTCGATGCTTGAGTTGGGCTTGTAGCAGGAACGTGGTGTACCTGCGGCGCTGGCCGACAGCTTACTCACTTACTCCGATGTGGCTGGCCTCCTCCACAGACTCAGGATGACATATCAACCATATCATGAGTCACATTAATCTCATGAGGGCCACTACAACATTTGCTCAGGACTGCGCAAGGTCGATACGAGATTGAAGAAGCACAGAGAAAGGCACAAAGAAAGAAACAACTCAACAGAAGAGAGACGCATGCAGACTAGAATTCTTCCTTCCTAGTTCTGCCGTTTTGGCTAGTCACGAGTGTTTAAATGACCACTCTTGCCACTCAGCGATTCCAGTTTTTGGAGACGGCGCCCGTACGG